AAGAGTAAAGAACTCCGTGATGCCATCAAGTTAATCACTGGATTATCTGACGAGGACAATGACAATGATCATGCAGCACAGCAACAACAGCAACAAGTCGAGTCAGCTGCTGGTTCTAAGAAAGAAGTAGAGGAAGATGAAGAAGAAGAACCACGTGATGAGCAGGAGACTGAGTTTATGGTTGACACATTAATTGGTCAAATTGATGGATTGACTCGTGAGCGTGCAAAGGAACTCTTGGTACGTGAAAAGTATGATTTGATGAATGCATTGGTTGCTGCAAAGACTACTTCATCATCATCAACTGGTGGAATCATGGCTGGATTGCAACAAAGCATTGAGCAGCAATTGGGCATTGAAGGAACTCAGCAACACGGCGATTCATCATCAACTGAAGGGTCCAAGTTTAACAAGGGCGATGGCGCCAGTTACGGCAACATGGTGGAATGGGTAACGGCCAAGTATAGCTGCCATCAGCATCCACCATCAGCTGACGACTCCAGTGATGCATCCAGCACCCTTGATGTATACATCCCGCTTCCAGAAGGCGTCACCGCACAGCAGATTCACTGTGTATTCCGCCGTACATCGCTCAAGATCACCATCAAGGGCGAAGAGTACATTTCTGGTGAGCTTGAAGGAGTGATTGACCCAGATGAATGCACGTGGATAATTGAGAATCGGGTAGTTCTGGTCATCAGTTTGGTCAAGGTTGCATATGGACGTGCATCAACTCCATGGCCTGGTCTGCTCAAGGGCGAAGAGCGGATTCCACTGTCATCTGGCATCGAATCGAATGCGCACGAAATGGATGCCGACCAAGCTGCTCTTGCGTATGCAGAGGTGTGGCGCTATTTGTCTTGCTATCTATCGAAGCCAAATGATAATCCAAATACAGCTCTTCAGGCATCATGGTACTTGCTTGGGCCAGATGGCAGCTCGATTGCTCATTCGTCCAAGCCAAATGTCAAGACAGCCGTGTTCTACTACAGCCCACCATCCACTGGTCAGCAAGCCGAGAAAGCAGGTGCAGTTCCGATTACGATTGCCTGGCCGATTGCTGACATTCCCAATGGAACCGCATTTACTCGCAACTATGTTCCAGCCGGCATTGATTCAGTTTCGAAGCACTCAGCCGAGGCTTATCTGCGCGCGTTCTTTGTTCCTGGTAAAATGACTCCGGAATTGATGGCATTCGTTGAGGCTTATGAACAATTTTCAAAGAAGACCTGTGGTTCATTTGGTAAAGCAGTGGCCTCATCTGCCTCCACTGCTACCGGTGCGGTCAAGCGGACTGAACTTCCAAAAGCATCCATTGTTCAACCATCACTCGACTCGCTGGCATCATCTCAAAAGACTGGTCGTGCATTGAAAGTGTTTGTTGATCCAGAAGTGGCTGCCTCCAATGATAAACTTGCAAAGGCATTCAAGGCATTGTCGACAAGTCCATCCCCTCGTCCATCTGCCGACAACGTAGTTTCCAGCACAGGCTCATCCCTGACAGGCACTGATTTCCCATGCATTCCATCAGAATCTGTTGGCGAGGCTGACTTTGTGCTGCTGTCAACCGATGCTGCCCTCACTACGACTGCTGCAAGTGTTCCAGACCGCATTATTTGCAAAGCTGGTCTGTCCAAGCTGACTTATGGAGCACTCGTAAGTATTGTGCGCGATCACTGTGGCGGTGGCTCTGGTGTTGAATGGCCATCGTGGCTCCCAATATCATTCATGCTGCCGTCTGAGATCGAGGCGTTTGTTGGATGTAACATGTCGCAGTCTCCGGATGCTCCTCCAGCTGTTTGGCTCGTGCGCTGTCCATCTACCCAAACCATCTGTCGCACATCGAGTATGCAGCTTGTGCTGCGGTTGATTGACATGGGTGCAACCATTGTTTCCGAAGACAAGAGTAACACATTGTTTGAGAGTTGTGAGTCCATTGTCGTGACCGCTGCCATTGTCCCCTCTGCCGGATTGGTTCACATTTACGCAGACAACGTGAGTGCACGCTCAGTTCGCGCCAAGGATGGAATGGGTCTGATGGTTCGCGGCGGTGCAAAGCCATCTCGCCAATTCAGTCACTTCCTCCCATCGGCTGGCAGCAATAGTCTCTACACCTGGACTCCAGGTTGTGATTTTATCAACAATTGCACTCAAAAGGCTGGCTACAAGGACTTTTACGGAGATGTCGTGCGCTGTGTTGCTGATGCATCTCGCTTGATTGCTCGCGAATTTGCAAGTGTTTCAAACCCGAATGAAGTTATTATGGTTGATATCGATGTGGCTGTGGAAGAAGGTCGTATCTTTGTGGTTGGTATTTCTCCCTGTGATTCCTTGAAGATGCACTTGGAGATTGATGGATGGCTGGCTGAGCTCGTCCATCTGATTCACAGCGGTGGAAAGATTCCAAACGGTGCCAGCGTGCTATCGCCCTGGACGACCTGCAACATTGCCTAAATTAGATTAATCAGTAGCAATGAAATAATATTAACAGGTTCTTGTTAATTATCATTTATCATTTATCATTATATATTTCTGTTAAAGAAAAAGAAGATGCTCTATTTTATGATCGAATCATTAATCTTGTTCACCGCGATATGTGACAAAGTTCTTTTCCGTTTCATACAGTTTGACCTCGAATAGCCTCTCTTTTGGAATCAATCCAGACTCCAGCAAGCCTTGCCATATGAACACTGCAATGTTCTCTGCCGTGCTCGGAATACGCTGCTGCTCGTCATTGAGAGACCTTCTGTTGAACCATTCCACTTCCAAATCAATGTTCTTATGGTCCAGCTGATCCATTACTGCTCTATCGATGGCCTCCTTCAGATCCTGCAAATTCATTACCATTCCTGTCCGTGGGTCAATGGGACCTTTTACCGTTACTTCGACCACATAGTTGTGTCCGTGACCATGGAAGCCGTGGCACTTGCCGAAAGTCGACTGGTTTTCTTCGGGTGTAAGATGAGGCGAGGCAAGACGATGAGCTGCGCTGAACGCTTGGCGGCGTGTCAGTGTAACCACAGGCGCCATGCTGAAGCTTGTTCTGGACGATGAGCAACTGACTTTGCTTGTTGAGTAATAAAATTGCGGGTTACCGTGGGAGCAAAAAGAAAAGGCTCCTACAACCTGTTCATGCAACTAGCAGAATCGATGACAAATAAATGCATAAAATAAAAAACAAAAGAAACAATGACGCAGATTCAATAGGAGTGGGGGAATAGGAAAGGTTGGTACGATATTAGGTGACAATGGATGACAATAGTAGTCTTTTATCTATCTATCTAGATAGGTTCAAAGTTAGGATCATCAATCTCAAACCAGTCAGCATCGCCTTCAGAGACGACTGGATACGATGCTGGATCAAATCCGACAGGAATGTGATATGACATGCTGACTTCGGACGATGGAGATGTTGGTGATCGCGGAGATGTGGGCTCTGTTAATGCTGTTGAGATGGATGCTGATGAGTTGACAAATGTATCTAAGATTCGCGTATTGTACGATCCGCATGAGCTGCACTTGTGATAGTCGAATCTGAGTGCTACTTCAGAGTGTTCGCTGCAATCGTTACAGGCGATGCTGGCTCGTCTGTTTGCAAACTCTGGAGGCATTGGCTGTGCTGCTACAAGCTTATCGAGTCGTTCAAACAGGCCAGTTGCATCAACCGCGCTCTTCATGCACAGCGGGCATTGATAGTAGCCAGCGGCTGTTGCTTGCTGGCGACATTCGAGGTGCATAGCGTGGCCGCAGCCTGGGGCAATTGTGATGTCGCGGCGGGATGTTTGCATGTACTCGCCGCAGATTGGGCAATCACTGTCGAGACTGCGCTCGATACAGCGGTGATTGTTGCGCAGATCAACGCTCAAGCATACGCCGCAGGTATCACAGTGGAAGAAGTCGTTCTGGTTTCCGCGTCGGCACATTCCGCAGGCGTCGCAGTGGAAGATGCCAGTGTTTGCGGAATCGTCGTCCCAGAGATGGCAGGTGTCGCAGTAGTACGCGGACATCTGCTGTCCACAGCCACCGACTGATGTCTGGCAGAATTGACTGGCGGGTTGTTGCAGTTCGCAGAGTGTGCATATCATTGTGGCGATGCTATATCGATCGAGGGTTGCTGTGCACCCATTCGAAGATGGAGCGTGCTGGTCGTGGCAGAGTCTGCATGGAAAGAAGGAGCCGCAGCACGGCGCCTTAATCGAACAAGAGCGTTCGTAATGCTCACATCCAGGACGACGGTCTGAGCGTAGTTGATGTTGTGATTGTTGTTTCTGGTGCTGGTAGTGGTTGTTGCTGTTGTTGTTGTGCGAGTGAACCGAGGCATGTCCGAGTGACTGAACGAAGGCAGCCTGCATATCACGCGCACGCTGCTCGGGCGATTTGCTGTGGTCCGAATGGATTGCGCGAAGACGCTGGCCGATATCCGCAGACAACATTACGACGCAAACTGATGGACAGACACAAAAAAGGCGAGTGAATAAAGAGGAAGCAGAGGACGAAGGTCCAAGAGAGGAGCAGAGGAGCACAAAAGCAGAGAAGCAGAAGGGGAGGAGGAGGGGGAAGTGCACTTCGTCGTCGTCGCATGCGGCAGGTGTTGGCTGGGAGAAGTGCATTAGTAACTATCCAGATGACGCCATCGAAATACAAAAAGAAAAGGCAAAAAAACCGATGGCGCAATCCCAGAAATTGGCATCACAAAAAATTACTGGTCCCCACCCAACACAAACAGCAACAACAACAACAGCAACACAATGTAATGCAAAGTGTATCACGACAAGTTGGCAGGCAGCACAAAAGACATGACACTGCGATACTCTCTGCATTCAACATGATGATATTCACTCCTATGGAACAATCCTATGATTGCCTGGCTCCTATAGCCGACAATGGCGGTGTTACAGTTTTGATGCGCCGATTACCACAACAAGTCACAAATTGAAACTTTTCAGCAGCCAATAGAAACGAATGTTGAGCACTTGAAAGCGAACTGATTGGAAAAGATTTGCCACCTGTGGGGATCGAACCCACGATCCCAATGGGGAGTGGTGCTTAAAACCACCGCCTTAACCGCTCGGCCAAAGTGACTTCTTTCTTTGGAAGACGAAGTTTTATTTCGTGCCTAGCACACAGCAGTTGGTTGAAGAGTGTGCAATCAAAATTGACATCCAAATTCAGGTATTGGCCAGTTCAACACTCTCATTGTTTCGATTGTAATCGGTCTCATCTCCACTTTGGTGTCGAAAGGATGCCTCCAGTCTTCGGCATGATTCTCTTCGCTGGCGCATTTGGCATTCTGCCCTCTGCACCTGGCGCTGGCCAGATTCTCGAGTCTCTTGG